TATGTCTGTACGTCTTATCCCTAAATTTTTGAAATGTAGTCCACCTCCTCCTATCCTCTATACCAAAAGACTTGAGACAACTTGAACATGACACAAAATAAAATGTTTGGAGACTACTACTAGGATAGCACTTATAACACTGAATACGTGGGGGTTTCCCTCACACCGACAACCAGTTCTCCAACTCAATAGATTCCAGCTGGATATAGGTGACTGTGACCACCAAGAAGCTCCTCATGAGCATAAACTCCTGTTAGGCTGAAAAGCTTGCTATGAGTAATGCAAGATGTTCTCTGCCACGCAGGAAGGATTTTAGAAGCTGTGTGTTGCAGTTTAATTCAGTTCTGACATTCATAACCCAGAGTTTGTACAGACTCACAGTTCAGAGCTGCATCCCACGAGACTCGCCCCCACTTTAGGTGCAGAGTACCCACACTCTGCCCACCTGGGCTATAAATCAGAGATTCCCATTGCTGTGTCCTCAAGTTCAGTAACTTGCTAGAATGGCTCATAGAACTTAGGGAAATGTTTTACTTAGCTCTCCTTGTCCATTGTAAAGAATACAAGGATACAGATGAACAGCCAGATGAGAAGGCATAAAGGCAAGGGCCAGAAAAGTGCTGAGCACAGGAGCTTCTGTCCTTGTGAAGTTGGGAGGTAACATTCTCCTGGCATGTAGATGCATTCACTGGCTTAGCAGCTTTCTATACCCATTGCTTAGGGGTTTCATGAAGGTTCCATTATGTAGGATTAAAGCATTGAGAACTGGTAATTAGTTCAACCTGCAGCCCTTCTCCCTTCCCCAGAGGTCAGGGGTGGGCCTTCTTATCAATGGTTGGTTCCCCTGTCTACCAGGATCCATTCAGAAATTAGGGCCTCCGAGAATCACCCCATTAAAGCAAACTCGTGTGAGGTTGAAAAGGCTATGAAGAACAAAAGATGCTCTTACACACCTGCCACTCAGCAAATTCCAAGAGTTGTAGAAGTTGTGTGCCAGGAACCAGGGGTGAAGTTCAAATGTGCATTTCCTATTATAGCACACTATCACAGGTTGGGTCCATATGAAGCCCAGTAAAGGAGAAAGAGTCAAAGGCAGATTACACTGCAGTTACTCTGAAATGTTTAGACTTACAAAGTGTCCACTGCCTAGCAAGCAGACTGATGGGTGCACATTGGTATTCTTCGTAGTGCCTCTAATGGTCTAATATATAATGTGCTTAGCCTACGACTGGGGACTGATTATCAGAGTCAATCAGAGAGGGCACTGAACTTGGAAAGGAGGATACCTCGTCCAAAGGAAGAGCTACCACGTGCTGGGCTGGGTTCCAAGCTCAGAACTGTCTTGACTCCTAACCTCTTCACATCTCCCTTGCTCTTCATATTTTTAAAAGTTACTTAGTCCAGAATATACTCAACTATTTGGTCAGGTGTAGAAGTCCAAGAAATCTTTTTGCAGTGAAGGTATATGCCAAGAGCTGATCTTCCTGTGGTGGGTTTGAATATGTACTTCATGTTGATGAGTCATCTTGACAGTCTCTAAGGCCTTGCTCCATCCTCGGGGACAGGATGGTGGGAAAGGCCTATGAGTACAGCTACTGCTAACACCAGGCTGAGCCTGAGGGAAAGGGGCCTTTGGAATTCCTAACCTCAAGTTCCTCTCTGGGCATGCAGGCCTCATACCTGGTCTGCACTGTTGGGAGCTTTGCTCTACTCTTCCTAACTATGCTGTACTAACAGAGAGATCACTATTTTATAGGTCAGAAGTGTGGGGCATTTTGAAGCTAGAAATATACAGTTGAGGAAGCTGTTTTGGGGGATAAAAAAATGTTCATTGCTTGCTGATAGCAAATATTGACCTCCTTCCTTCTCTGACCACCTGCACTATGAGGTGAGGATCCAGCTTAGGTCAGGCGTGCCCGATCTGGCTCTGTGGAACTATTTTCTTGATGCCAGTTTGTGGAAGTGCTCCCTGAGTCAGAATGAGAATCTGAGGTTGAACAGCTGAACAGCTCCCTAAGCAAAAGGCTGCCTTGTTGGTTCTGCCAAATGTCCCAGACTGTGATGGCTGAGGGACGTTTTTGTTGAGGTAAGCCTGGGATGTGACAGTGTTTCACTTTCATAAAGGCAGTGTTGACACAGCTGCAAGAAGCCAAGGACAGTTTTTCTAGCAGTGCAGGTCAGAGAGAGCACAGATGTCTGCTGCTCGTCACATGGCCCAGCCCAGGGGCTCATTTCTCAGGTCATCATTGAAGTGCTCATTCATCCAGAGACACACGGTGCAGAATGCAGATGGATAGGGCAGGACCACTTCCAGGCTCTTCATGTCTGATGTTTCCAAGGAATAATGGTCACAGCATTAAATAGTATCAAAGTCCTGCTTTTAAAAATGTAGAAAGAAGGAAAATGATAGATAAGAACATCCCTTATAGGATTAAGTGCCAAAGTTTGCAAGAAATAATGGTTGAGTCTATGGATGGGGCAGAAATTAGCTTCCACCTATTTTCAGGGCAGGGTGTGAGCTCCACTGACATCATCTGTTCTGGAAAGAGACAGAAGGGAACTGGGTCATTCCTCATAAGGTCCACAGCCATCGGAATAGATTCTGTGCATTGTAAACACAAGGCAGAAGGAGGGAGCTCTGTCACTTTTGAGCTATCCCAGTGTGCTTCAGTTAAGTGAGTCCAGGCTGGGAGGGTAGATACTGGCTCATTCTGTCCTTATCTTGGACAATACTGCTCTGCGTTCTTATTCTTTTGTGAAGCCTTGGTTACTTCCTCTAATTTATAGCTGGCACATCTGTGAGACCTAATAAATCTTCCATCTGCAGTTAGAATATCCAAATAAGATCCAAGCTGACTGCTAATGAGGATCTTCACATTGGTTCTACCAAGGCATTAATGATTTTCTCCCTTAGTAAACGTTGAAGCCTAATTTTAAAAGCTAAAAATCTACTTCCAGTGCTTAAGGTAAACAAACCATTCATAGTTGTTGCTTATTTATTTTACTTAACTATTATTTACTGTGAGGCAGGCGCTATGGTAAGTGCGTAAAGCCATCAACTTATTTAACCTGATAACTTACAAAGGATTCTTTTCTCCCAGGATCTCTCTTCTAATTGGAAATTAATTACAAGTTCAATGGAAAAGTGTAGAAGACAATTACATGGTTTAAAGAGAGAGAGAAAGAGTTACAGGCAGACTGCACTGCAGGTCCTGTGAAATGCCCTCCTGAATCTGCAAAGTCCCTACAGCTTGGCAGATTTGCTGGGCTCTTCATCCATGCCATTAGTCAGTCTCGGAGTCCTAATTGTCCGCAATGAAGTGCCCACTGATGGCGTGACCTGACTCTCACATGGGCCTGGATGGTGCTTCAGTTTTACAGGCATACACATGTCTCCTGGTGAGATAATGTTTTAAGAGGCAGACTCCTTTTCGTCCTCACCTATAGGGACTGTTCGTTAAGCCCTCTCCTCAGCTGCATCATGTCCTCTACAACTTTCAGCACTGTTACTCTTCAGCCTTGACAGCCCAGAATGCCAGGCCCTCTTATTAGAGGAAGGGAAAGCAAAACCTTTGGGCTCCAGAAGTCACCATTTTTTGTGTCAAATTCAACCATTGTATTGGCCTCTGGGTTGAAAATCTGCCAGCTTTGACTATTGCATTGGTTCATTTAGGTTGAAGATAAATCCAGAGGCATTAAGCTTATTATCCCCAAAGGAATGGGTTATTTTCCTGACTTCAAGAGAGGAGTTAGCTCTTAGCAGTATGTAGATTGCCCCTCAGTAGCAAAGAATTCCATCAGGACATATTTAAGTTTTCCTCCTCTGCCAGTAGGGTGGTATCTTTCCAGTGAAGTGAGCAGAGCTGATGGAAAATTTGTGAGCCCTGAGAGCCTGCACTGCCAGGCCTTAGGTAGGCAGATGGAGTGGAGTGGTGTGAAAGAGGAAAGCACCTGCCCATAGGCACCACAGCAGCCCAGCTCTGTGGGCACCATAGGGGGACTTGGGTACTCTGCTTCCCATCATCCAGGAACCAGAGGATGTGAATGAGCAGCTAGTTCTCCACTGGACCTTCAGAAGCAATGCAGCGAAAGGGAGATTCTTGATCTTCTGAAGGCCTGTAGCATGCCTTTGCAGGGTGGGTTTGCTGGAAACCTGGACTCCTAGTTTTGCTGCCAGATTCCCATAGCTGCCCTAGAAAGAGCTTTGCCCCCTCGCACCGTGCACCCCCGGCCTAACACACACAGGACAAGAAAGCTTGAGCTCAGGTTAAAACAACACCTGAACATAGCTTTGAAAATGCGTCTCTAGGGCTGGCATCTGCAATGCATGAAACATTTCCTCAACCAGAGAAAGAGAACTCAACAGACATCTATTGTCTGCATTTAACAGTTTCCCTATTCGTTATACCCTGTTACATTAGTACTGATACTTACAGAGCGCTTTAAATAAAGAAGATATCCTCTGGTATGCAGCTATTACACATACTTCCAATGGAGTGGTTTACAGTTAATTCCTGTTGCTTAGCTGCTGCTTCAAGGAAGTGGTGCTGGATGGGTAGAACTTGTTTTGCTCCTTCTGTTCACATTTATGAAAGATGTTATATTCAGAGAGATCTTAAGGATATAGAAAAATGCATAATGTGAGTGCATGACCAACAATCCATTAAAATTCCCTGCGTCTGATGCACAAGTCAGGATGTGATTTTACTAAAATGCTTTGTTTTTACATTCGGGGAAAATTCTGACATCTGACAACCCATGAGTTTTGGTGGATAGTATAGTTGCAAATTGGTGTTCAAATCGCATGCTGTCATCACTACTCTGCAAAGTCCTTGGGGCTGAAAATGCTCTTAAGGCGTCACAGAGTACAGATGGAATGGGAGCCACAGTGAGAGGCAGGGCTGTGCATGTCTTCCACGGCTAAGACTGGGCACCTGGCTTAGTGGCTGCTTGTATACCTGGGACAGCAGCACACAGGAAGCTGTCTTTGTTGGAGGTGGTTGTAGAGCCACTCCTGGCTGCTGATTCCCTGCTGCTTCCTGAGCCTGAGCCCTGGCTCATCCAGAACCTACTCCAGAGAGTGAAAAATCTTTACCTAGCACCACCATCAGGCTTGATCCTTACCTTTCTGACTTGACACGCAAAGCCTACATTGTAAATAGTGACTGTGGCGGGGGAGCCACTTTAAGATCATGAGGAATTAAAAGAGCTTTGTGACCTTGTCTGTGTGGGTGTTAGTTTTCTAAACCATCTTTGCCCACCTTACCTCTGTGGTTTTCATATAGCAACCTCCAAAGTCAGCAAGGCAGCATTCTCTCTTCATCTACAGATACAGGGCTGAGGTGAGGAGCCCTGGAGCCTTGGGCCGAGTTTTTCCAGACTTTTACACAGTGTGGTTGGTTATTTATTTACAGGGGAGCCACCAGCACTGCCTCTTCTGTTTCCCTGTGGAACCCTCAAAAGAGAAGCCTTGCCGAATATGCTCAAGGACAAAGGTGACTGGAACGTGCAGACCTCATCCCTGGAGATGGGTGCCCTGAGGCCCAGACAGAGTGCACGTGGCCGTGTAGAGGCAGAACCGAGACCAGCTGGGACTCCTAAAGCACAGGAGCTACCTTTGGACCTTGTTTCCTAGTGTCATGAGCTCCATCTGTGTGGGATTCAGAATATGACAAGGGACAGTCCAGTGTAGACAGATTCACATAAACATGGGAACAAAAGGCGTTTGTGGAAGGCTTTGACCCTTCTCACCACCTCAGCCTCCTCAGGTCCCTCCTACAGTAGGAGCCACTCCACAGTGCTTAGTAGGCTGCGGAGAGCTGGCCGGGGCCTCTTGCCCTCAGTTCTGTCTTTCAGTTTCTGAACAACTTGTTCCGCAAGTGCCGTGTTACATCAGGAGGTCCGCACCAGCTGTGTGCTGAGATGGCGGAGGCTCCATGATGTTCCTAGTGCAGTAAAGCCTTCCCTGGTTCTGATTCTGCCCAGGGATTCCCATGGAAAGCATAACTGTGTATCAGACAATTCCACATCCAGGAATCCAAGGGAACCTACACAGCTACTACTCCAAGCAGGTATGTGCTATTTCCAGGGAGGGTGCTGGTGGGCAGGCACTGGGGGTGAGCACCAGGTGAGGGGTGTGAGCTTCCAGATGCTGACTCTCCATGTGATTTGTTTGTCCTCAGCTGGGTGACTTTTGTGGTGGGGGTTCGTTGTTTTAAACAGGGTCTCACTATGTAGTTGAGACTGATCTGGAACTATGTAGCCCAGGCTGGTCTCGAACTCACGGCAATCCTCCTGCCTCAGCCTCCCAAGTGCTGGGATTACAGGCATGCATCACCATCACCATGCCTGGCTTCGGCTGGTTGACTCTGAGGAAGGGGACTTTCTGAGGCTCCAATTCTGTGTCTGTGGGATGGGAATGCCAGCGATGGTGAGCCTATGGCACATGCATTTTCTTTTAAGAAAAGGGTGTTAATATATGTTGGTTTTTGCTAAATTAAAACCTCAGTGTTCAGGTTTAATTGCAGTGTTGGCCCTTTGTAACTGGGTTGCAGTTTAGACTCTCACCTGTAAAAGGTTTGCCATCAGTGGAATGGACCTATCTAGTAAGTGTAGAAAGATTAGAGGAGATAGCTGATGAGAAGTTCTTTGTGTAGTCTCTAAGACAAGCTCTAGCCTGAGGTGCATATATAGGGACCCTGATGCTACCGTTGTTCTCCATCATGTGGGCCCGAGGCTTGAAGAGCCCACTCTGGAGTCTGGCTTGAGTTTGGGAGGCCTCAGGCAAGAGAGCGGACAGCTCTTGCTGAGTTGAGTGATGTCTTTCCATTTCTATTCAGAAGATACCTCCCCTTGGTCTCCCAGGACAGGGCTCTAAATCCTTGCCTGATGGGGGGTGAGGTGGGGGGATGTCCTGTTAGGGACCGAGAGTCCCAGTCTAACAAGGACCATGGCTGTTGTAAAGCCACCAGGCAGCCCTGTGGCTGAGTAAATTCATGCTCAAACAGCTGGGAAGCGTTGTCTCTCTTCAGTCTAAGCTCATTTTCTCTTCTCCACAGGGAATCCCAGCCTGTGTCACATTTTTCAGTCCCTCTGGTCTTAGATACAGTCTCAGGCATATTCAAGAGTTATCTGGTGACAGCATTGATCAAATTAAGGTATAGTATTCTGTGAGCTTTTGGTCCTTTTCAGATTAGAGTTTCATTTTCTCTTAGCAGCTTTACTAATTATCCTAGAGTTTCCTTGTCTTGATGCCAGTGCTGTAGGATTGGAAAGCCAGCATCATTTCCTCCCTAGTGCTTGGCACAAGTTGCTGAGCTGTCTCTGAGTCTATTCCTCATTGTAACATGGGGATAATTATCCTTCTGTGGCCTTTGTAGATGTGTGTGGTCTCCTTAGAGGATTCGATGAGAGAATTCAAGGGAAGTCCTTAGCACAGAGCACGATGCAGGGGTTGCGTCCTTCCCTTCCTTTTTTCCTGACTAAACATTTTGAAATAATTATCCATTCTAAAAAACATCCTTATTTTCATGTCATAGTTTAAAGAATTTACATCCCCACCTTTTAGGGACTATGTCTGTTATAAGTAATTATAACCCTGCGGTGTCCATAATGGAAATGCCCTGAAAGTGGGCTGTGACCTGAAGTACTGAGGCCCTCTTGTCTCTTCCCTCTTTGCAGCTTGCAGCTATCGGCCCTACCACAGCTCGCGCTCTGGCTGCCGAGGGCCTGCATGTGAGCTGCACTGCAGAGAGCCCCACACCACGAGCCCTGGCCGTCGCCGTCAGGACGGCGCTGCAGCCCCTTGATCCCTGCGGCACTCTTGGGTCCCGTCCTTCCCTGTGCCGGTGAGGGCAGCACAACTGCTGCCACTGAGCAGGAGCCCAGCACCAGGCAGGAGCTCTTGAGAAACTGCGACCATCGAGCTCCTACCTCACACCTGAGTGGAAGCACCTTGGTCAGAGATGGATCCAGCCCTGGGGTTGGCATCCAGCCCAGGTGCATCCCAGTTCCCAGACCCTGCAGGAAGGAAATCAAATAAACCACACAGGCTACCATGCTCACTGAGTGGATTCTTTCCTCATCCTGACAATTGTTAGTGTGAAGTTGTGTTGGGATGGGATAGAGGGGCACATCCCTGGTATGAACAAAACGTGCATGTATCAAAGAGGTTTACTCATCCTGTAAGAACGCCTTGAAGTTCCTGCCTCTGGGCTGTAGACAGTTGTAATTCACATACACAGCCTTTTCCTTCACTCGTAACTATAGCACTAGTCCATCAGACCAGCTGATCACCCAACATCTGGAGGCTAGGAAGTCAGGATCTGCTCAAAAATGTAGTGTCCTGCAGAAAGACTTTGAAAACTTGTCCCCAAATTTTATTTCCACTCTTTAATCCTGGCCTATAACTTGAGCTGGTTAAGGAAAGCCATGTTTGTCTTTTAATGTCTTGTGGGCTGGTGGCATGAAAGGGTACTGTGTGTGCCACCTGCAGGGCTCTGTCTCCCTGAGAGATCAAGTGGGAAGGTACCGTAGGCTGAGCACCTGTGTTTCCAAACTGCGTGGAGGGCCTTACGCTGTATGTGATCCCACTCTCCCAAAAGCCCTGAGGAGTAGGCATTGCTACCATTCACATTTTTCTGGTTAAAAAAGGCTTAAGAGGTGGTGCTTTGGAAGCCGATGGAACCTTTAAAAGGATGTAGGAGATCCTTAGGACAGGATCTGTCCTTCTGGGGTGTGCCCCAGAAGGGATTGTGGGACCCCTTTCTCTCTAACCTTGCGCTCACACATGCCCTTGTCAGTGCCACTCACTAGGATGTGATACAGCTGGGGAGAAGGTTGAGGTTTTGAAAGAGCCCATAGCATGCTGCTTGGACTTTTAACCTCTACATGGTGCTTAATGCTTTTCTTTGTAAGGTCAGCCTGCTTCGAGTATTTTGTTATAGCAACAGAATATACTTGGACAGAAATTTTACAACAAAGGTACTGTGATACCCTGCTGGATTTTTGCTCAGACTTATAGGCAGAATCTATTCCATAGCCTCTTTCTGCCTTGAAAGTGAAGTCTAGAGTATTACATTTCTAAAGGCATGCTTGAGTCATTGTCACCTATGCGAGTCATGTGTGCTTGGGGAAGAACTGGTCCCAAGCAGTCTGCAAAGGACTCACAGCACCCTCTAAAGACCTCTTTGGTGAAAAAAGCTGAGGGACTGACTGCCATCAGGCCCTTCCTCCTCGTCCCTCCCTGAAGCCACTCTGCATCAGGCTATTCAGGAATCCACAGTGCCTAGGAAGCCATGTACGTGACCAAGACCACTGCAGATATGTCTTGAGGCTGGTTTCCTGATTTAACATCCTCACATGGTACCAGTTAGATAAACTAACTTGAAACTATCACAGATTATAATGTGGCTCTACTATATAAAACCAGTATATGGCTACTGCCACAAAAGACTTGTCCTATGGGGTTCACAATGCTGGAACTAGGTGAGCTGGAGCCCAGTCTGGGCAATGGGGCAGGACCCTATTTCAAAACAAGAAGTAAAAAGGGGTTGGGGATGTATCTTAGTGAGTAAGTTCTGGTTCAATCCTCAGTATCACACACACACACACACACACACACACACACACACACACTGCTGGAAAACCTCAGTTTTTATTTACTGTTTCTTTGGCCAAGGTAAATGTATCAGAAACAATACCTGAGGCTCATGAACAGAACTAAAATTTACATTAAAAAATTATTTCTTTTAATATTGTTGAACTGCAGTCCATTTTACTATAAGTAAAAGGAAGGATTTTCCTTTCCATTTCTTTTTATCTTTTCTCTAAAAAATTTTCAGGCTGGGGATTTAGCTCAGGGGTTCCACTGCCTGCCTCACAAATGCAAGGTCCCGAGTTCGATCCCTGGTACCAAAAGAAATAAAATAATTTTCAACGATTGTGGCCATTTCCATGAACCTCTGAGTCACTCTGGAATTATGCAGACAGTCCAGGGTATAGTGAACCTGCTCTCATCCCAAGGCGGAGCCCTGCAAACTTTTTACTTAAAAGATGAATAATAGGAGGACTTCTATGTGTGTGTGAAGGGGCAGGCGCATCCTTTCCAAAAGAAAACAGGAACAGAACTGGACGAAGTTATTACATTTCAGGGCTCTGGAAAGTGACTGAACTCAGATAAATTAAGAAGTACTCATTCATGGAAACCGGCGGGAACTTTGGGTCAGACTCAGGAAGCCTGTGACTTGGAGATGCTCTTGCCCTTCCCACAGCCCTGGCCCAGGATTTTGGGTTTGTCTTTGTCCCTATTATCCCACTATAATAGGAATTAGGAGTTAGGATTCTATTAGGGAGTAAGAACAGCAGCCCCAAAATGGAGTCAGGACCCTGAAAATGGAGTCTGCTGAATTGCAAGCCTACACAGATCGTACAAAAACATCTGCCAGTGTCCTTTCCACTTGCCTGGGATCTCCACAGAGTATGGTCAGGTAGGTCAATGGCTCAAGGGTACTTGGCCCCCACGTGGATACTGTGTGAACACCGAACACCCCAAAATATGTATCTCCTATAGGGTAGACATTATGATGCTTACACAACAGTCTGAAATCTCTTCTAAATCCCTTAAAAACTAGATAAAGTGCCCTCCTGGATAATCCTACTTAAAACCCCCTGCCAGCTAGTGGGAGCTTTATTTCCTTGACTTTATATCTTTCACTTTCTTGCCTTTGTATCTTTTAAATAAATTTGCTTGCTCCTTACTTCATTCATCCCATGGTTTCACTGTCACCTTAAGACATGAGTCCAGTGTTCTGGTAACGCCATGGCAGGAAGGCACCCGCTGGATTGGAGAATGAGGTGAAAACCCTGAGCTTTTCAAGTTGAAGGCTCGGGCTCCTCTGCGCAGAATTAAAAGTCTCCTGTATGCAGGCAGATCTCAGCGTCCTTAGAGAGACACTGGCCCAGAATTTCTCAACTCCACACAGGAAAGGGTGTTGTGATGTTCCTTCCAGAACTCTTCAGGGTTAAATCTGTCTGGGACCCCTCTGGAAGCACAAGTAGCCAAAATTCGGGTTCTAACTCAAGACTTTGGTCAGAAGTTAAAACTAAAATTCCAGTTTTAATCCAAGTTGTTCATAATAAGCCGGTCATAACTCAAGGGCTCTCTGTATATGCTGTATATAAATTAAGTGCAAAATAAAAGAGGAAAGCTATTGTCACTCACTATGGTCACTGTATCTAAAAGTGTACCTTAATTGAGTATAATCATCTTATTTATGTTTTCCAGCCTGGGGTGTAGGTATGTTAATGTATGTTAATGTATGCTTATGATAATTAACTTGATAAAGACATGAAATAAATCAATCTGATGCTGGCAAAAAATAATAGAATAAAAAAGGGAAGAGACGAAGGTGGGAAGGTATTGGAAGGGGATGGGACAAACCCACAGTGCTGGCCAGCGCTGGGACCAGGACCCAGGGCTTTGGCACAGAACTGCAGGTTCCTGTTGGCACCGTGAGGGCTGAGAGGGCGGAGCTGAGCTCTGTCTCCAGAGACTGCCGAGGAGTTTTCGTTTTTTACAGCGATGGGGATTGAACCCAGAGAGGGAGCACCAAGCTACACCTCCAGCCCTTTTTACTTTATTTTTGAGACAAGGCCTTGCTAAGTTCAGCAGGCTGGCCACAAACTTGCAATCCTCCTGCCTCAGCCTCCCGAGTAGCTGGGTCTGTCTTGCAGTTTTTCTTAAGGCCCATAACTACATCAGTTAATCCCTGCTAATTATATTAATTATTCTGTGATCTAGTGGGGAGGAGAGTGAATGGGAAGCTGGCAGGAGGATGAAGCTGACAGGAATGGATCCAGCCAGGGAAGGATGAGCTGTAGCTGTGATGCGCCCGGGGCGCCCCCACTGCAGTGTGGAAAGCAGTCGGAGCCCGGATCCCTACTTCACCCTGCTCAGCCCACAGCTCCAGACAAAGTGACGCCCCAGAGCCCCGGAGTGACCAACCTCCTTGTATCTTGGGGGAGAAGACATCGGACAGACTGCAGGAGAGGGTTTCAGCAGATCCTGTGACCCACTCCGCCTCCTCACGTCACTCCCTCGTGCCCTCCCCGGACAGCTGCTCAGCTGAGCAGAGCCGGAGAGGAAATTCGTGGGGCCAAGGAGGGCACAAAGGATCCCGGGAGCCAAACCAGAAGGCCACAGGGCCCACGGAGCCAGGTGCGGCCATGGGAAGAGGGGACATTGTCTCCTGTGGGCGTGGCAGCCACAGTGCTCGGTGATGGGGTGTACTCTCTGGCACTGTCCTCAGTGTCACACACTGTAGCAGTGACTCGCTTTGCGAGTTCAACAACGGTTCCACTGCAAGTCTACGCCAAATGGTAATGCAATTTCCCTGTGAATGTATGGTGACGAAAACAATGCGCTGTATGGAGGTTTTCAGAGAATGAGCCAGCAGGAATCGTTTTACTGAACATTTTCTTAAGGCTTTGTCTTCATCAAATTCTGAAAAAGTTTACCTTAAGGCTTAGCCTACCTATCACTGATCATATAGGGTTAGATTTAATTGTAGCAGAAAATCTTGTAGCGAAAGCTTGAACAAAACAGGATTTGATTAAAATGCTAGTTTAAGAAAATATTTGAACTGGTTGTCAATCCCAGCTCAATGATACAGGTCTTTGGATTCCATCCCCAGTAATGGAAAAAAGAAAAAGAAACTCTTTGGACACTATAAGTTCCTCATACCACTCGCTGCTGAATTTTATTTTTAAATCACTGTTGCAATTTTAAGCTTTATTTTCATATTATCTATAGATTTATGATGTGCAATTACATGAAATATTTTAAAAGCAAATGAAACAACGAAAAGATAAAAAGACATGGATGTCTTTAGCAGCAGTAAAATAATTCTTATTTTCAATAAATATTGATAAACTCTTCAAAAGTCGTAGAAAAGTATTTCTTGCCAATTTACGGCCTTACGGGTAAGCATTTTACTGCTTGGAAAATAGGCAGTTTGGCGCAGTAGTGCTCACCAGTAATCCTGGCCCTCTAGGAGGCTGAGGCAGAAGTATCTTCAAGCCCAGCCTGGCCAACTTAGAGACTTAGCAAGATCCCATCTCAAAATAAAAAATAAATTTAAAAATAATTTTTTAATAATTTTAGTACAATCCAATAATTTTAAAAGATTGGAATGTACCTTGGATTCAATCCCCAGTACAGGGTGAGGGGCCAGGAGGGCACAGTGCTGACAGGAAAGATTCTTTCTTTTATTTATCCCTGAACTAAGAATGATGAGACATTTTTCTTCAGCATTTCTTTTGTAGCCAAAAAGAACCCTATCCGTTGGATCTAGAGCCTCTGTTTTACAGACAAGAAAGATTAGACCTGGAGGAATCATTTGTCACCCAGTGGGAAGCGAGGTGGAGCCAGGTTCGAGCAGCACTGACTCAGAATGGCTGGTGTCAAGCTAAAGGGAAAATTGAGGCACAGTGGGTGTGACAACAAAGAGTTCAGTGGGCAGCCTCCCAGGGAGAAAACAAATTCTAGTTGCTCAGAATAAGTGCTCCCAAAATGGCATCAGAGAGTCAAGGTTTCTGCAGATTGAAAAAACAACAGGAAGAAAGTTACAGAGAAGCCGTTGGTACAGGTGAAATGGTCAGTAAGAATGGCACTGGATGTTGATTGGTTGATGAGAATGGCACTGGACATTGATTGGTCCCTAAGTTTGGCCCTGGATGTTGGTTGATTGGTGAGAATAGCACCAGCTGATGATATAGGTCATACATTCTAGGTAAAAATTGAGCTATGCAGGAAGAGGCTTTTACTGGATTCCTGGGTTTACTGGGTTATCTGCAATCTTTATGGCATCCGACAGTCTGCAGAAACATGGCTTGCCCTAGGCTAGCCAGGCTTCATGTCCTTCCCCCTCCCAAAAGTTTGTGACTTCATTCTTGTGACATTTTAAATCCTTTCTTACTGGAGAGTTAAGGGACTGGTCATACAGAAGCACTGGAATCCATCCTCACTTAGTGAGGTACCTGGGGCTCCCCAGGGCTGCAGGATGAAGGCAGCAACACAACGCCCCAGGTCCCGTCCTTACAGCAGCATGGGGCCAACTGCACAGTACAGTTTAGAAAATAACTTGTTTAGGGTACAAAACAGTAATGAGGTCCTCATTATGTTTTGGTATACACATATACCTGTCACTCTCTGAATTTTTAATTTCACTTTGTTATCTGTAGCATAAGGGTTGCATGAGGGCAGGGACTGTGTCTCATGTTTAGTTCTGTATTTCTTGTCCCCAGCACAGTAGTAGTATTTGCTGAACAAAAGAATGAGTAATTAAAGCAAGGCCCTACACAGCCACATTCTTGCTCTTATCAGACCTTTGAAATGAAGTTCCAGGCTCCCACCTGCAACATCATAGCACCTAAAGGCCTTTCATCCTCCTGCCAGTCTCCAGACACACGGGGCAGAAATCCCTTCGGAGGAGCTGGAACCTAAGCCTACCTCTATACCATCTTCTGCCCCTTCCCTGCCCCTCAGAAAAAGAAAGCCTTTTTTCCTTTCTTCCAGGCTTATCGCTCTTAAGTATTAAGAACTGGGCCTGCTTTTCCAATACTGTACGTTCACACATTCCACAGACTTCCACACTGAAGGCAATAGCACTATTAGCGGGTAACCATATCGCTAATCTCCAAGCACGTGCAGTTTTCATTGTAATGTACCCCCAATGGGCAGCTCGACAGACACTAGGAATTCACATCCCTGATGACCTATCATGACCACGTAAATACCCACAGCCTCAGACGGAATGTGCTTCAGCCCTGCACTCCTGAGTGTGTACTTGTTTGCTTCTACTTAATGAATTCTCCTGTGCCTCTCATAGACAGATCCTGAAACACTTTTCTTGACAAGGAGGAACCTTCTTTGAATGGGGATCCAGTTGAATCCCCGCCTCCTCTTTGAGGGAAACTTCTCAGGCCCCCTCTAGTGACGGGATGAGGCAGAAGAACATGTGAGCTGTTGGTTCCGCTGGGGCCAAGGGGCTGTGCAGCAGGAACAAGGCAGAGCCTCAGTGACACTGTCCCGGGGCCACCTGCACTTGTGGCTTCAATGTGCAGCAGTCAGGGGTTTTGGTTCTGGAAGGCAAGGCCAGGCCAGAGTTTGGCCTTGTGGAGTGAAGGTCAACTCTCCAATGACAGGATGTCAGAAGCAGCCTTGTGAAGGCAAGAACACTTATTTTTATTTTCTACAAAATGACCTACATATTAGATTGGTCCAGATGTCTTGCTCCGAACCTGTGCACTTACCCTGGCCAGGGGAAGAAAGGGTTAATTGTGTCTGGGGCTGGCAGATTTCTCTGGCCTGCAATGACGTGGGAGTCTATGGAATTTGTGAACCTACAGATCGGATCCTGCTCAGGATCCTTCTAGGAAGAGGCCGGGACCCTGGGGGTTTCTATTAGCCCAGGTTGTCGGACAACCCAGCCAACCCTAAATCTCAGGCTCAACATGATCAGACATTTGAGGGTAGCCTTCCACGGGGTGATTCCATGACCTGGCTACTTCCTGCAGGACACTGTGCTTCTGGTCAGGAGTGAGGGACGAGAGAAATCACAGAACTAGAGGGAGGTCCAGAGCCCAGGCCACCAGGGGCATAGCCACTCTGTCCACGTCTCTATTGCAGCCCTATCTGACCCCACACTCAAGGCCACCAGTTTTTGTCTGCTTGAAGGAAAGACTGGAAGCTCCTTTGTGAGGGGAAATAGGGTAAGCAGATGTGGGCTGGGGAAATGCTCTAGAACCTCAGGTGGTTCTAGTTTATACTCATAAAAATTACAAACCCAGCAACCTTTGGGTCTCCACAGAGGCACTAAATGGGATGACAAAAAACAAACAAACAAAAACCTATATTCAGGACCATAGAGAAGTATCCATGACGTGCTACTGAGTTGTAAGTAACATGCTACGGAATATGTGGTGTATGTAAAATCTCTCACACACACATTTATATCTGTGAGAATGGCCATCAAAACAGTATTCCCTGTAGCACAGGAATCCCCCTTATTTTGAGTGTTTTTAAAAATTTAGTACTTTCTATACCGATTAGACTTTTTTTTTTTTTTCTGGTACTGGGGATCAAACTCAGGACCTTGCACTTGCGAGGCAGACATGGTGCCACTGAGCTAAATCGTCCGGCCCAGACTTTTTTAAATAAGGGGAAAAAACATTGAGAAGAAAAATGAAAAGAAAGTCTGAGATACAAACTTATAAGCCCCACTCCCCAGCCCACTTGGAAAAAAGAGCTTGACCCAAACTCCAAGCATAGTAATGGTCACAGTTTTTAAATTGTAGATGCAGTTGAGTCGCAGTGGGTTAGTAGGATGGTTTTGTGCCTCTCCTGACAGATGGAAATGCACCGCAATCTCACAGCTCATTTAGGCTGCAAACTCGCCCACATGCACATCACCATGGAAATGCAATCCACACGTGTTTACAACCTTTCCATGTAATTCCCCAAGGATATGGCAAACTCAGAAGGCTGAGGGAAGAGGAGATCTCATACTAACAAGAAAGGTGGCCCTGGGTTCTTCAAAGGCAGCTCACCCCGGGCCTGCTGAGCAGCCTGGTAGTGGGCACACTTCACACACTTCAGGGCTGGGTGAGAAATGCTTGATTGCTTATAAAAGGTTCCCGAGCCCTGCTCCTTAAGGAGGGGAAATGGGGACAAGCAAGACTGGAAGGCTGGAGTCCAGGCCGGGTCATGCGTGCTGCCTCTGTCTTGCATCCGACTCTGCTGCTCTGCTGGCTGACCACACCCCAGCTCTCAAAGCCCAAGGCACTCTTCCATAGCCGGGATCGCTGGGACCTGGAGCTGTCTCCACTCCGCCAGGCCAGGCCCATCGCTGACCTCCAGGCTGCTCAGGTAGAGCCCAAGTGCAGCATCACCCCCATATATACACACACGCGTGCCACACACACACACACACACACACACACACACACACACACGTGCAGGTCAGGGCGTGGGCATAAGAACTGGGCGGAGAACGGGCCAGCAGGCTGGTGGAAATCTGGCAGATCTCATGGGAAAACGCTTTCCATGGTCCTAGTGGGAACAATAACAACTCCATGCTTATCTTCTTTATTGTTTTTCGCAGAACTGGGGATGGAACCCAGGGCCTCGCATGTGCTAGACAAGTGCTCTTTTCCTAAGCTACATCCCAAACTCATTAGTGGACAACCCCTAGGGTCAGCCCCCAGTTGGTGACTAAGGCTGCCCTGTGCATGCACAACAGACTGAAATGTCAAGAGCCTTTCTAAATGCTAGTGCTGTGGTCAGAGGCCAAGGCACTGTTCAGATGGCATTACTGGCTGCCCACCTGCGAGTCTCTGTAGATAAAGGGACAGCCCTGGCCAAGGTCCCTGCACAGCACCGGGTGGCATCCATAGACTGCTGGAGCTCCTCTGTGGTGAGGGCAAGGGCTCACAAAAAGGATACCCCTCCCTTGGGAGTTGTGGTTCAGGGCAGGGAGTGGACTGGAGGAGCCTCACCCACCCTGGACCTTGTAATCTTAGTGGTCCCCATGTGCTACAAGCAGGTCAGGATTTCCAACTTTAACCCTTAGCTCCAGCTACTGGGGAGGCAGAGGACGGTGAGAAGAGGCACAGGGCCAGGCCCGCTTGGCTGCCCAGGATGGCACACTGGCCTTGTCTCTCAGCCCCAAGTACTAGGAAGTAGCTCCCCGGTCCTCAGACCTGCCCACTCCCAGGCCTGGTTCTGACTCCCAGCTCCTGGCCAGGTCTTTCTGTGGGCCCCCTCCACCCTTCTGTGGTCTCAGCACACTTCTGCCTCCAAGATGGCCTCTCCTCCTAACCCTGCACCTCTAATTCCGCTGCTTCTCAGGCCCCAGGGTGCCAGTGATGGCACTCCAACCAGCCCAACCTGCCCCACTCAGAGGTCAAAGTCCTCACCTCCTGCCATACTTTTCTCTCTCTGTCTCCCTCTGTTTCTGTCTTCTCTCTCGCCTCCCTCTCTCCTCTCTCTGCTGCATAGTCTCTGGCTTAGGGGCAGGGGAAGAGCCCACTGTGAAGCACTGCATGGATTTAGGCATTCTCTCCTGTAGAGATTCTTATCCAGATATGGCTGGTCAGCAGTGTCTTCAGCCTAGAGTCCTAACCTCAAGAGGACAACAGAGGCCCCAGGAGGCATCTCCCTGGCCGATGCCATGTGCAGGTTCCAGAAGGCAAATGCATTGCCAGTCAGCGGAAAGCTGGACACAGCCAGCCACACTGGTGGCCATGAACAAGCCATGCTGTGGTGTGCCTGACAAACAGGGACCCCTGGCCACACCATCGACCCTCCAGCCCCATCAACTCCTCTAGGTCTACAGCCCAGGGCCCAACCAAAGCACTTCCTGCAAATGCTGCTGCCCAAGCTGGACAGGCAGCAGGAGGACTCCTCAGACAGTGGGGTCCCCAGGGCCTTCTCCAGAAAGACTCTGACCTGGAGGCTGGTGAGTGAGGCCTACAGCAGCCAGCTCTCTGTGGACGAGCAGAGGTACATTTTCAAACTGGCCTTCAGGATGTGGAGCGAGGTGATACCTCTGAACTTCTGGGAGGACCTCACTGCCCCTGGGGCTATGGTGAGCATAAAACTGGGTTTTGGAAGAGGTAAGTTGGACACGGGCTCAGGATGCCCCTTCCTGCCCACTCAGCAGGCTGACCTCCAGCCTTCCTCTGCTGAGGCCCTTGCCTCAGTGCCATCTCTAAATGACCCTGGTCCATCCCATCTCAGTTGCCTCAGTCACTTGCAGAAGGATGATTAAAAATCCTACTTCCTGGGGTCGTTCTTGAGGTGACACCTGACAGGGTGGAGGGTGAGGATACAGATTTAAGCCCTTCTGTCAGTGTTGCCAGCCGAGAACTCACAGGCAGAGGATAAGCTTGTGGCTATTCAGAGAGCCCAGGGAAGGCACAGAGGACACGAAGGCCAGTCTCCCTTCTCCCCTGGGAACAGGCAGGCCCAGCAGGTGCAGGCTGGCTGTTGGCTCTTGCTCCCTTCACTCCATGGAGTGATATAGAGTCACAAACCAGAGTCAGGAGCCTTGGACAAACGTCCTAACCTGTCTGCAGCCCTATCCATGAACTAGGGGTTCACAACCACCTCACTGGGCTTGTTTCATTGGATTAATGTTCTGGCTTGCTTTGGTGAAAAACAGTATGAATGTAAGGAACAGAAACCTCCTTTCTTTCATGACCTCCCCAGCTGTCTGGACCCAGCTCGAATGCTCTGTCCTGGAGGTATCACCTTCTGACGTCACCCCTTCCCTGTCACCCCTTCCCTCTCACAGCCCCGCTCCGGCACTTGGTACCCAGCTGTTTCTGTCTTTATTATCACAACGCTTGCAGATAACCTCCCAGGGAGGAGTTATTCCAGAAGTTGTTGCCCCACCTGTCCCTGCTGCTGGAGGCTGGGCACTGTTGAAGTCTTGTGCCTGGTTAGGTAGGGAATCTGCAGCAGGCACACCCTGTGTTCACTGGGACCATCTTCTCCCCTCAGGGCGGCACCTGGGCTGCACTCAAGTGTTTGACGGGAACGGGCAGGAGTTCGCTCATGCCTGGCGCCTGGGCGATATTCACTTCGATGACGAGCACTTTACAATTCCCACCAGTGACACAGGCATCAGCCTTCTCAAAGTAAGTGGCTCCAGCTGCTCTACTGAGGGTGCAAAGGGCATGGACTTCTCTATGATATACTCATGTCCTTCTGAGAAGGGTGGTGGGTCTCTGGTGATGGCTCCCGAGTTCTTGTCCTGTCCAACCTCTGAACAAGAACAGCCCTGTGCGAGTCACAGGCCCGCCTCTGTGATTTTGGGATCTGTCCCTGCGGTACTTAAAGGTCCAGGTCGGTCCTGTACCTGATTTGTACCTACCCTTCCTAGGTTGCCGTCCATGAAATTGGCCACGTCCTCGGCCTGCCTCACATCTACAGGACGGGATCCATAATGCATCCAAATTATATTCCCCACGAGCCTGCATTTGAGTTGGACTGGTCAGACAGAAAAGCAATTCAAAAGCTGTATGGTAAGGTAGCTCTTGGACAAGTCTCCCAAACTCCCAGAAGGTGCTCAGGCTGCTCAGGAAGACCCCGCTCCACGCTCACAGGGAGGCTGGTCCCCAAGGAACACAAATGTATGTAACCCCAAGCAGCTGCCCTCTGGCTCCATGATACAATCGCCTTAGCTAAAAGCGGTCTTGCCCAAACTGCAACCCAGGAAGAGGGCAAAGCATGTCCCACACAGGCGGTCCCTCCAGCCCTCTCTCCCACACGTCACAGGCTTTGGGTAGGCATACCACAGCATCTCACAAGAGACAGTGAACTGGAAACCACTGGAAGTTTACTGCGATGCCAAAGCAAAGAGCAGCTTAGTTTCACCTGGGCAGTTTTCATCTTTATTTGGCCAAAGTACTAATGGTTAATTATTTGATAAAAATGATCAGTGATGTAGCACAGATGCCAAGTCTCAGGAAAATAGTTTCCTTTTTTCCACTGAAAGGCTCTTCACAGAGCCTCCCCATTTCTGCTCTACTCAGATCTCCTGTTCTTGGCACTTGGTGCCTTAGGAAACAATGAAAGCCAGGACACATTTCCCCACTGCTGGAAATCTTAATCCTGTGTGTATCCAATACCAAACTTCTTTCCTCTAATGAAGTCAGACTGGCCACTGAAATGGACCTCTGCTAGCTACATTTCTGGCAATCATACAACTTAGCATCCAACTCATGTGAGTTGTGATTGTGGTGGCAACCTGTGTCCTGCCCACTTCTCGGCTCTGCCAATTTGGAATGGTGTCTGGCTTTAAAATGTGATTCAACAGAAAATTCCAACTTTAGGCCAGGGATTTAGCTTAACGGTTCCACCGCCTGCCTCGCAAGCACCAAGGACCTGAGTTCAATCCCCAGTACCAAAAAAAAAAAAAAAAAAAAAAAAAAAAAATT